AGAGCTTGAGAAGAACTGGGGGTGTGAAAGATGCTAAAAGATCTGGAAGACCCCGAAAGACTATACAGAAAGAAAAGACAGATTTCCGACTAGCTATACGAGTATGTAAGTATTAGAGTCCTTTTGGCACTGCAAACACCCTGAGAAGCAAATGGAACACCAATGCTCGAATCAGCAGAATCACAATCAACAGAAGGCTAAACAAGGAACGGATGAGATCATGTCGGCTAAAACAACGTCAGCTCTTATCCCATAGATACAAAGAAAGATATATTTCTAACTATAGCCTCTTTAATTTCTTTTTTATGTGCATTCAAAAACATAACGACAGAACCACTCAGAGGGAAAACAACCATAGTTAAAAATTTTGTTGAATATTTTATTGAAAGAAGGGCACCATTATGTTGCATGAACATTAATATTTTCATTGTATATGTCATCACTTCAAAATGATTTGTTTCTTTTAAGACTTTTTATACTTTGCATTATTTCATCACAAGTCATTGGTTCAATTATAGACTCATTACACTGTACATGTAAATTAGAGAGAGTATCTAGATCCACATTTCATAAAACATAGTCAGGTACATGTATTTCATTACCTTTTTCTGTATTCAAGTCTTAAAAAAAATTCATATAATTCTTCACCAGATGCATTTACATTTTTTCAAAAATAATTTTGCCCTGAATTTATTATTTTCCTATATTCTTTCGGATTTCTTGACATAAGTTTTTTCAGTTTTTCTTTTGTTCGATTTTTATGGTTATTTACACATATTTTCAACACTTTTTAAATATTTTTCTTTACAATACAAGTCGTTATTTCCATATCTCTTATTTTTAGCCTCAATAGTGTCAATAAAATCTAGTTTGATGTCTTTCTCTTCAATGTTGTCTAGAATCCCATATCAATTCTTAATTTCAATACTTTTCTAATCTAGTTTGTCAAGAAAAAAATTTTAGTCACATTTCCAACCTTTTACATCTTTTTCTTTTTGATCGCTATTACAAATATGAGGTGCATATACGTAAAATGACCCATAACATCACCAAATTAGGCCTAATCAGGAAGAAAAACACTAGGAAAAAACAAGTTACCGGTATAACTTTCTTCTTAAGGATATCCGATCATCAGCTAGGAAGGAAAACTCTATAATTTATAATTTTATATTAAAAGACTCAAAAAGAAGAAATCTTTTCATGCAACGATTTTCATTTATGCCTTTCAATGTGATTCAATGTTCTTTGAAGTTTTTAGAAACTGTATTTTAAAAAGTTTTTATTTCAGATTCCCTATAAATCAAACAAACAATATGGGTATTATTTTTCTTGTTTAATATGGCGCTTCTGTCCGCGGTGATCAATTTGCTGGGGTTACCACAGGGCTGTCCCACAATCAAGAATCAATACAAGAAATATGACGACCCAAATCGGGTGGATCATGCACTGGGTAGGTCACAAGTGCATGAACGTCACCAATGCAATAACTAATCAAATTCAATCAATCAATTATTAATCAATCAGTCAATCAATCAAATCAAATATCAATCAAGTCAATTACTTGTCAATCAATCAATCATTAATAAGTCAATCAATTCAAATATCAATCAAGTCAATAAACAATGGAATAAGCGTCAGAATATGTGTTGCACTCGTCCAATTGCGTTGAGGTGTGACGGAATACGCCACTTGTAATGATCATGACTACTCGTCACAACTATCGAGTAATCATGGAACTGCAACCGCCACCAATGGGGTGCCAAAAACCATGGTGACGGCGGCAATACCTCAACGCAAATGGTCACCGTCGACCAGGGCCTGCTCATTCACCAATACAAATTTACAGAATAATTGATTACAGACGTTTTACAAATGGAGTCAAGGACTTGTTAGTATAAAACAACTTCTATTTACTCTAACATTGTTGATACTTACCGGCACTGTATTTTTCCATAGGTTACCTGTATAAATTACCTAAAAGGCTGGTATCTTTTTCATGGCTTTTAAATCATTAAAACACCTCTTACCAATTTTCCTTGCGTGACAAAGTAATATAGCACTTGGAAAAAAAATAACTACCCTTCTTTAGTACTTCACAATTTATGAACCAATTATCCATTAGTAATGGAAAAATGAATACCAGTAAAGAATGTAAAAATATGTAAACAGATGGTAATAACTGTATTAATGTATAAATGATATGCTTTTGAAAGCCAGCAATTCTCAACATTATAATAACCTCGTCCTTCCCTGTTGCATTCTGATGGGAAATGTGTAGTAGTTGCTTCCCTAATGGAAGTGAGCGATATTTAAATTTTATCCTACAAAAATGACAAATATATTTTATAAACTACTCAATACTGTCTAAACCTGCCCGCAATTTCCGTTAAAAAGTGGTTGAACCAAACGTCCCATTCAACCTCTCATATAAATCTTTGATTTAAGGTACTGTATATTTTAGATTTATATTGCATCTTGTCAAAAGGGCAATTTAACTCAGTTAAAACAAAAAAGAGAATTACGAGTATTTAAAAACATTGACTTGAAAAGAGTAGTTTTATCTCAGAAAAATGGTACTAGTAATTTACTTCAAGCTTAGACCCTTAACATTAAACATTTATTTGGTAGTTAAGGTAGGTCCAAACTTAAGCGGATCTGGTTTAAATTACTACATACCGTTTTTATGTTTACTTTAGATTGTTGAGCATAAGGAATTTGATATACTGGTATTACTTCAGATGTATAATTAATTTCAAGAGTGCATCATTCTTTGTATATTTTTCAAAATTTTGCCAAAAATTTTCGCTAAACTTGATTTTACTATATTGGGGGTATAACTGTCCAAAAGACAGCTTTGTAACCTATCTGATCAATCATGATAAAACATGTGCCTCATCAATTATGTAACCTTAGATATAATCCTATCCAATACAAAATGGCATAATATAAACATTTGAGAGTTTTTATAATTACGAAAAATGAAGGGATTTTATTACTATTAGCATACAAGGGTGGAATGTGTCCTAATTTAATTTTGAATTTTAAATTTTGGTAAGAGTTATTTCCTTTTATTTGAAATAAAAAAAAATATTAATCAAAAAAAAACTTATCTGGTATAAAAGTTGTTTTTAATTGTCATACTATTTCTAATGTTTTCCCACATCTTTCTATCACAGTATTTAATGATATTCTATTATTTTAATTTTTATTTAATTAATATAGATTATTGGAATGAATATGAGATAATCTCATTTAATTGTTTGGATAGCATTAAACATAAGACACAACTTGGTACAAGTTATCTAGTTCATGGGAAAGTCAGCATCAGGATGAGTTAACTATTATAGCAACTTCCTCTTCCTCTTCAACATCTCAGCCATTTGGTCATTAGTAAAAGTTACAAACAAAAATCCAGTCCAATGCTAACCATCATGCCACCAAAAAGGAAGAGGGATATCAGAGGGGAGATGGTGTCGCCATCCAGGGGCAGAGGACACAAAAAGCCTCGCCATGCTCCCAGGCAGCAAAGGTCTGGAGCCAGGAATGATCATCCCCCCCCACCATGCCGAACCAGAGACTGCAGGGAGTGATGCTTCACCCGACAGTGAATTGGGGGAATTCGCACCACCAATCATTGGTAATGTTGATTCAGATTTCTCCCTTGATGTAAATCTTTCTGATTTCACTCCTGTCCCAGAACTTAGCTGTTTCGATAATGTAGGTCAACACATTCCTTTGAAGTTAAAACAAAAAAATTGGGATGGACAGTTTATCGAGTTAGGTCTGCTGTTAAAATCAGCCAAAGAGATTAATGATAGTTTGGTAGGACAAGGGGAAATTAAAATTAGAGATGGGAAATTTTGAATTGTCCGGTCAAAGGTTGGTACATATTTGACAATCGAAAAATGGACAAATGCTTTTATGATTTACATGAGTGTTATGTTAGAGAAATATCGCACTAGGGCCCAAGAGTTTTTAAAATACATGAGAGATATCAGACTAGCCGCCTCTAGATCACAGGGCTGGTTCAAATACGATGAACAATATCGGCTACGCAAAGCTAGCAATCCCGAATCCTCCTGGGGGGTTATAAGTCAAGAATTTTGGCTACTGTATGTGACCAACCAAAGTTCAAATTCTTTTGGCAGTCAGAATCACTTCAACAATACTAAACAAAATTTAGATGAGAGCAGCACATCCGCTGCTACCCAGTATTGCTATCATTTCAATCAGGGTAAAAAGTGCAATTTCTTCCCCAGATGCAGATTCAAGCACGTCTGTAGGAGGTGCGGAGGAAAGCACCCGGCCACAACCTGTTCCAACAAGGCAGCTGTATAAACTGGGCAAGACCCCAATTAAACTAGATAAAATTTTTTTACATACACAAAATTATTCTGATCATCAATTTTCAAGGGAAGGTTTTCAACATGGTTTTAAATTGCAGTATTTTGGCCCTAGACCACCCAGGTTTTCTAAGAATCTTACAAGTTTAGACAAACAATATCCAGTTGCAGAGCAAAAGATTTACAAAGAAGTCTCATTGGGGAGGGTTGCGGGTCCTTTCATAGAACCACCTTTTCCAACATTACAAGTTTCTCCTTTAGGTCTTGTACCTAAAAAAGACGGTGACTACCGCCTCATTCACCATTTATCATATCCAGAATCTGCTTCAATAAATGATTTCATTGACCCAGAACAGAGCTCAGTAACCTATTCAACCATAGATGATGCTGCCGCCATTATTGCAAAATTAGGTCGGGGGGGCATTTCTGGCAAAGTCGGACATTAAATCAGCCTTTAGGTTGCTACCAGTGAACAGCACTAATTTCGACTTGTTAGGTTTTCACTTCAATGATGGTTTTTATTACGACAAGATGCTACCTTTCGGTTGCAAAATAAGTTGTGCAATTTGGGACAGATTTGCTTGCTTTCTGCATTGGCTTATACAGGATTGCTAAAAAAATGCCTCAATCCTGCATTATCTAGATGACTTTCTTTTCTGTGGCAAAGAACTTCCCATTTGCAAAAATACGTTGGACACTTTTCTTTATCTGTGCAACGATCTGGGGGTCCCTATTGCAAAAGACAAAACAGTATATCCAACGCAGGTTCTTACGTTCTTGGGCATTGAGTTTAATACGACGGAAATGATCATGAGGTTACCGTTGGTAAAAATCGATGAAATCAAACAAAAGATTCTCGACATTATGGCACTTAAGAAGGTTACTCTTAAGCAACTTCAGTCTTTATTGGGTTTGTTAAATTTTGCATGTAGAGTTATAGCTCCAGGTAGGGCTTTCTGTCGACGTTTGATTGATGCAACAATTGGCCTAAACAAACCTCATCACCATACCCGTGTTACGTTAGAAATGAAAGCAGACCTCAAAGTCTGGCTTGACTTCCTCCAATCATTTAATGGCATTTCAGTCATTACAGAAGGTATATGGGTGAATAATGAGACTCTACAACTCTACACTGATAGCGCAGGGGGAGATAAGGGGGGTTTTGGTATATATTTTGCAGGCAAGTGGACATATGCTCAATGGCCCATTTCCTGGTTTGTACAAGGCATAACCCGTGACATGACCTTATTAGAGCTTTTCCCGGTCCATATAGCTATTGAATTGTGGAAACATCAATTTTCCAACAATAGAATTTTGTTTTACATTGACAATATGGCGGTGGTACATGTCATAAACTCGACAACATCAAAGTCACAAAGGGTCATGAAAATTGTAAGAAAACTAGTTCTCACTTGTCTCAAACACAATATTTTGATTAAAGCAAAACACATACCTTCAAAATCAAATTTTATTGCGGATTCTATCTCTCGTTCACAGTGGGGCAAATTCCGACGGCTAGCACCGGCAGCAGATCCATGGCCAACACCGCTTCCCAAGAATATGTGGGAAATTTAACAAGGGAGGCAAACAGACTTATACAGGGTTCACTATCAGCAAACACATACAAAGCTTACCAGGGGGCTCTCACCAACTTCAAAAAATTCCTGAATAATTGTGGGACCACATTGTATTTCCCCATTCCTGTTGATCATTTGCTTAATTTCATTGCCCACCTTTCTATTTCAGGTACAGCTTATAGAACAGCTGCACTGTACATTAGCGCATTATCATATATCCATAAATTAAGAGGCATACAAGATAACACACAATCATTCATTGTCAAAAAAGCCTTGCAGGGTCTCCACAAAAAGAGAGGTATCACTTTAGATTCTCGAATCCCATTAACTGTATCTATCTTGGAGCATGTAGTATCAGCATTGCCGTCAGTGTGTAGATCATCTTACGAGGCAGTGTTATTTTCCACACTTTTTTCAATTGCATATCACGGCTTGCTTAGAGTAAGTGAAGTTTTGAATATCCATAGGGCACACATCACGTTTACTAGAAGCAAGGTCAGCATCTTAATTCCCAGGTCCAAAACTGACCAAATGGGAAATACAACAACATTGCATATTTCCAAACAGTTAAATTCGGATATTTGCCCAGTACAGTGGGCACTCAGGTTTTTGCAGCTGCGTCCTAATGATGGTTCCCTTTTATGCTTTATTCATGTCGACAATAAGGGTGTAACAAGATACCAATTCAACTATGTGCTTCAAAAAGCACTTCAATTCAGGAACATTCAAGGACACTTTAGACCACATAGTTTTAGAATAGGCAGGGCTACAGATCTTGCAAAACAGGGGTTTCCAGATTCAGAAATAAAATCTTTGGGCCGGTGGGAGTCAAAAGCTTTCAGAAACTACATAAGATTATAACATGTTAGCATTGTTAAATGGAATACAGGCTAATTTTGCCAAAGTATTCCAGGTTTCAAGACGATTTGGATAGTGGGATCTTCAATACCTTATTGGGCTGGTGAGGAGGCAGGGAGGAGACCGGGTGGAAAGAATCTTAATCTTGGGATGGACATCACTTGGAAGGGAATTAGAGGGCTGAAATGGGAAGATCTTGACAAAGTGTTAACAGATGAACTCAAACACCAACCACACCCAGATGTACTAGTCATTCACGCAGGGTCAAATGATCTAACTACGGCTGGCAATACTGCACTTAGATTTTCACGTGAAATTCAATGTAGTTATCGTTATAATGTATTACTTCCTAAGACTTTGCTCATTTGGTCAACAATGCTTCCCCGTCTTTATTGGCATGGTGCACCTCTTGGCAAGGGTGGGGCTAAGATTGATTTAAAACGGCGTAAGGTGAATAAGGCCATTAGAAAATTCATTACATCCGAAGTTAATGGGGCTTGCATTTTTCATGACAAAAATATCAACGTTCATCAAAGCAGTTTATTTAGATATGATGGAACTCATTTATCGGAAAGGGGGAATAAGGCTTATTTAAATAATATCCAGGGTGGTTTGGAATTCATTTTAGGGGGAAAGGGCAAAATTTTCCTTCCTCAGTAATGCCCTTTGTTTATCTAGTCAGATTTCAGTTGCGATGACGCGATGACCTGTAATTTCCTAGTTTAGGATTGCTATATATATAAATATTAAGTTTGGTGCAAATTGTTGTGGGGAACATCATATCGATGTTAGTGGCGGGGTCAAGGGAGACATCAGCCTTGAACACGCTTAACCTGTTTGTCTCTGCCCATCTGCATCAAAGCATGAGGGGGGTATCATGGCTGTGTTTTAACATGGAAGTTAAATGCCATTGAGGAAATGTGTAGAATAAATGTAAATTGCTTGGGATCTGCAGCATTTCAGTGCTCAGACCCCCTCTACCTATATAAAAGTAGGAGAGGCTACAGACTGGTTGGTGTTAAAATTCTAAACCAGGTAGCAAGCCAGAGGCAGGGTGTAAAAGCTGTGCAGCTTGTGTGCCTAGCCATCATGCGTGTGTCAGGCATGGGGTTCCATGGCACTCGCATCTAAGCGAGGCCACTAGTTTGCCCGTTTGTTTATGGTATCCTAGTTGTCTCCCTTGACTCCTACAAAATTTGCGGCCATTTTCATCCAACATTGTGTGTGTTGTATTATTATGATCTTGTTTCTCAATAAATTAGTAAAGTTACAATTGGTGTTTTCAATTCTCAGAGCTGTCTGGAAGACAGTCTCAGTATAATGGTATTGAAAAGGCAGAGAAAGCAAAAAATATCATGGGCTGCAATATTCAATTAATATAGATTATTGGAATGAATATGAGATAATCTCATTTAATTGTTTGGATAGCATTAAACATAAGACACAACTTGGTACAAGTTATCTAGTTCATGGGAAAGTCAGCATCAGGATGAGTTAACTATTATAGCAACTTCCTCTTCCTCTTCAACATCTCAGCCATTTGGTCATTAGTAAAAGTTACCCACCCACCACTCCCAATTAAAAAAAAAAAAAATGCATATATATATATATTATTATCATGTAACTGTTTTTTCTTTGATCACTTAATCTGTGCCAAATATTTTATATTTTTAGGTAGATTTCATGCTGTGGACTCAATCAAGCTAAGCTTGTTCTTTCAATACTTAGGACTTCTCAAGTGATTATTGTGGCAGATTCACAACCAATGCCTATTAATTCAGGAAGAAGCTGGGATTTTTCTTAAAAAAAAAAAAAAAAAAAAAAAAAAAAAAAAAAAAAATGGACTTTACATTAAGCATATCAATATAGTTCTTTCTTCTCTTAATATAAAAAAGAATAATAAATTCCATGTCGCATTCATTAAGGGGGAGGAGTCAGGGAAACATTAAGGTAAACAAGAGTACATGCTTAACCTGTTTGTCTCTGCCCATCTGCATCAAAGCATGAGGGGGGTATCATGGCTGTGTTTTAACATGGAAGTTAAATGTCATTGAGGAAATGTGTAGAATAAATGTAAATTGCTTGGGATCTGCAGCATTTCAGTGCTCAGACCCCCTCTACCTATATAAAAGTAGGAGAGGCTACAGACTGGTTGGTGTTAAAATTCTAAACCAGGTAGCAAGCCAGAGGCAAGGTGTAAAAGCTGTGCAGCTTGTGTGCCTAGCCATCATGCGTGTGTCAGGCATGGGGTTCCATGGCACTCGCATCTAAGCGAGGCCACTAGTTTGCCCGTTTGTTTATGGTATCCTAGTTGTCTCCCTTGACTCCTACAAAATTTGCGGCCATTTTCATCCAACATTGTGTGTGTTGTATTATTATGATCTTGTTTCTCAATAAATTAGTAAAGTTACAATTGGTGTTTTCAATTCTCAGAGCTGTCTGGAAGACAGTCTCAGTATAATGGTATTGAAAAGGCAGAGAAAGCAAAAAATATCATGGGCTGCAATATTCAATTAAAACAACTTTCCCCAAACATGCCAAATGCAATCTTTGTTAATTAAGTACTACTTAGTTAATGATTTTTTTTAACTTTCTCCTGGGCAATCCTTTTTGACTATAAAATGCTTTAATATAATGTCAGAGTATTATGTACTTGGACATTGGACATTTAAGGGTAGAAAATTCGGTCCTACTGGGGACTGGAATCCTTAACATTTCTATTTGCAAAATGTACATGCTTATTTACAAGTTTTATTTTGCTGCCCAGTCATTCCTTTCAAAAGTTATCAAAAACTCAATCTGAGCAGGTTGATTTATTGTCTTATCGATTTGTGATTTTAAATTTCTTTTTTAAAGGACCACTATGAAGATTGAGACATCCTGAGATAGCCTTGTACTAATATAATTTGTTCCTTGCTTGTGACTGAACCCGACATATCTGCTCTATGGCATATGAGTGATTGATTATTGCTCTTTTACTCTAAGGTTAATGAAGCCAAATTTCTACAGCTTTGTTGTGCTTTGAGCATTTGACAGCTCACCCTGAGACAAAATGCTTACTCTAAAAAATAAATCAGAAATTTCTTACTTTAAAGTTGCATTTTTTATACAGTCATTGACCAGGTGGACAACAACAGTTCCCATGGTTTCAGCATTGAGTATCATCACCCTTTTGTTAGAGGGAAATCAGTTCATATAAACCTAAGACATTTTATTTTTTTGTAAAATATTCTCCGTGTATGGCTTTATGCATTTTATTAAAATGTTTCAATAGACCAGCAAACAAATGAAACGATACCGAACAGTGAATGACTCATAACAATGATGAAACAAGAAAACATTGATGTAACCATCATATTGTCGCCCGGGAAATATATAAAGTAAACAATGGAAATAAGTCTTGATCATCAAACCGCTTAGATATGTGTGAAAAGTCATGCGTCTAATTGATGGAGACGATAGTGACGATATTTTGAAAACTCATAGTCGGATAAAAAATCTAACAAAAACTGTACCATTTAAAACTTGATCAATTCCTCAAGTAAAGGTTGGCTGCATAAAATATAAATTGAAGTTAGACACATGCATCAACTATATTCAAAAATGTATTTTAATTTTCAATTTTCGAATATAAAACACGAACTGTGCAGAGTACGTTTTTATGCGAGAAGTAAAATTCGATGTTCTAAAAAAAGGGACCTGTCATTTTTTTCCACAGTAAATGATAAGCTAATTTATATATTAAATATGAAAAACATATATATTTTTACGGATTCACTTTACGGAAGTAAATATATTATGTATCTCCTAATTGATAAAGGAAAAAACAATCTGATTAACAATCTTTCCAATGTTTAGAAAACCTTTAATTCTGAATAACTACTCCCGCCCAAATCCCCATACACCAACACTTAAACTTATATGTATAGAGCAGCCCGGTCCTCCGGGCTGCAATTAACCAACATCCTTTCAGTACATTCAGTACTTTGATTACTGCAGAAATGAAAATGACGCAGTTCTCGTGATGTTCAGTAGTCAATGCCATTTAACATGTTTAACACTTTAAATTTTGGCAAAATGTGTAAGTTCCTTCTTCAGGCTTCATAACATTTTTGGAAAACAAAACTTAACACGGATTAGTATTTTTGCGCTTGATCCCCCCCCCCTATAGCGAATCGGGGATGATTACGTTTTACTCCTAGAAATAATTACTTACATTAAACCATCCCTTGACTCACATATGTTTATTATTCCTGTTATCTATAACTCATATTTTACCATATTGCGTAAATTCAACCAATACAGGACTTAAGATATCCGGAATAGAGGGACACAGGTTACTGAAATAAACTCACTTATCCCAGACCAGGCTCGTATAAGTGGTGAAATTTACACTTTTTAAATCTGTAAAATTTACAATTTAATCTGTAAAAATTAAACTGAACTCTGAACAACCATTACTGTAACCTGTTATAAGCAAACGGTCGTTTCGTGATGTTATACATGTACCTATGACATTTGAAAAATAGTATAAAACTGAGATGTTCACAATTGTTTGTGTAATTTTTTTTACATGTACACGTATATATGATAAATAAGGATGGGCGATTTACTCATGGACCTCGTAATTTTCCCCAGCAAAATATCGGGAATCTGCTTTCAATTAGTTGTACTATAGTGCGACGAACAGTAAAAATATATCTCTAAGATATTTTTTTCTTATTTGCTGATCAGTTTGATATTGTAAGTTTATGGGTCTATGATCATGATGATATAAAATGTTACATTAAAATTACGGTCATTTTTTAACGTAGCAATAAAAAAACGTCATTGAATCAAAAGGTATAAATTTCCAAAATTAATATAAAGTCATTTACGAGTTATTTATTTATGTGTATACTTTACTAATTAATATATGAATTGGTTTTTTAAAAATTTTCAATTCAAAAATTAAAGTAATTCAATTGTTATCGGTAATACATGTAGAATCTAATACAATTAATGCTTTCAGTAATTGAACTAAATAATTGAACTACTGAGCGCATTAAACGAATTTGCAGATAATGATATCAATATCATATTCATTGAGAATACATGCATGTGTGATTGATTTGCTCTTCACTAATATTCTATAAAAGTCTTACTTGTATCAGTCATATTAATTTGCTTATTATTTGCATTAATTGTTAAATAAAAAATCAGAATAAAATTATATCATGCGTGATTCATGGTTTGTTGGCTTTAAAATGTGTTACTTAGGATGAATGACTACCAGTATGTTAATTGAACAGATAAATGTGTAATTTTTACACTTTAAAGTGCAAATTTTACACTTTAAAGTGTAAAATTTACAGATTAAAGTGTAAATTTTACAGATAAATGTGTAAATTTTACAGATACAAGTTTAAAATTTACGGATGAAAATATAAAATTTACTTACAGTTTAAAGTGTAAAATTTACAGATTAAAGTGAAAAATTTACAGATTAAAGTGTAGATATAAAAAAAACTAAATGTCCAATTGGCACTAGTACACTTCCGTAAAACGTCTATTAATGACTAGTTGATTGCGTGAATTCAACAGTAAAATTGAGTGATACACAGTTGGGTATATACATGTAATAAAGGTATGTACTTATACATATATACTAAATTGTATCTTAGTTTCAGTAGATACGAGATGCAGACGTGCTAAACGTTACTCTCTCTCTCTCTCTCTCTCTCAAAATTTTTAAGGTAAGAATTAAATAAATCTTAAATTAAAATATATTTGTCCAAGCTTTGCTTGAGATACAACAAATAATATTATAAAATCCGGTCAACATGACATAACTTTGATGAAATTTTAACAAGTCCTAGTGCTAGCATGAGTAGATTAGATAATGTGAAGGCTTACATATCCCTTATCTAATGCAGATGCATTTATTTTGTAATCCTTTGGGTTTCCTGGTCACTTTTAAGTGTTAATGCTGAATCAAAACTGAACAAACTAGTTAATTTTATTTAACTTTTTTGCACTGAGAACCAAAAAAAAGATAAATGCTAAAAATCGTTTAAGGAATGTTTTTAAGTTTTGTGTGAGTTATTGGTGTGTGAATCACACAGACTTGTCACGTAGGCATATTTCATGAAGCGCGCTGGCACTTCTTGAAAAATATGCCTACGTGCAAGTCTGTGTGATTTACACATCAGTAATTCACACTAAACTTAAAAACATTCCTTATATTTACATTTTACGTGTTTGGAAGTACCAAAAATATACTCAATATTTGAATTTCTCGCTGTTCTATATATATCTTTGTACTTTTACTAACGTAGCTGTAGCCTTATTGTGACGTCGCTGTAGCCTTATTGTGACGTCACGTTAAGCACGTTTTTCCTTGTATATTTCTACGCGTGAGTATACACAAAAATGGTTTTTAAATCAATTTCACAGTTGGCTTAGCAGAAAAACACAGCAAATGTAAATATTTAATTTTGATAACCTATACGTAAGATTTGTCGAACAAGCAATACTGAATTTAATTGTTTGTGACTTAATTTACCGGAGACTTTATTAATTAAAATGTATTGCTCCAATAAAGACTTCTCTTACACTGGTAGAAAAATAGATATATCTGGCAATGGGATTTAAAAGGAGAACGTAATATCGAATTTCTTTATTCCAAGAGTACGGATGGATTTTATTGAACAATTGAACAAATTACCGGGTTGTTTTGGGGTTTTTTTTATACACAGTCATGCATTTGTTTCGTATACGGGGCACCGTCTACTTGTTTTTACCACAAGGTACCTAACTCCAATTTAAGCCACCCCCGCTTCAAGCTAGTATTTTGTTTTATTAAAATATATCAATTATTTCTCGAAAATTACGTCAATACATTTTATGACTTTAGATTAAATAGAACTTCCGGTTGGGGTAGGATAAAACCAGACACTTCCGAGAATTTCATTCAGAGGTTTCTGGTTTTATCCTACATCTATAACCTCAATCGGAAACTGATGTATCTCATCCGCGGTTTTATTTTGTATTGACGTAATTTTCAAGGAATAAATGAGTAGTTTACAATAAAAAGGCTCGATCAGAGACGTCTAAAACGATTTAATTGACAAAAAAGTCTCTCGCAGCGACCGATGTCATTTTAAAGTAAGTTTATAATTGATATATTAACAAAGTACAAGCTTGAAGCGGGGTGTCTGAAATTGAGTTAGGTAACTTGAGGTAAAAATAAGTGTAGAGGTGTCTTAAAACCGTGGAGTGGTACATGCATATGAGAATGTAATGCACTTAGAAAAAAAAATCAGCAATACGTAAACCAGATTCAAGGAAAATCTAATGATTTCGAAACAGATGTCTACTACATGCCTGGGATTTTATATTAACAAATGTGTTGTTTGATTTTTCTGTTTAGGCGTTACAGCAGAAAAAGTATATCGTCGAAAAGTTAAATAATTTTTTAGTAAAATGGGAAGTATTACGCATGAGCAAATCCAGATTTGAAGTAAGAGGGTCTAAGTTGATAAAACATAGAAAGGGTTGGGGTGCAGTTGATTAAAATTTACTCAATACTTTGCTTGAAAAACTTAGAATAAAAAGACCGCTAAGTTCTTTCATTGCAAGAATAAATAAAATATAGCCTTTAATGTTTTCCACGGAATCCGATACTAATACTAATACTAGTTCACGACTAATTCATTAATACTTAATTAATTTACTAATTAGTCCTATGAGAAATAATGAATGATGTAGAAACTTATGATGAATTCCTGTCTCAAAGTACATTTTCTTTTATAATTAAAATTACGTTGTCATTAAGCATGTCTATCCACCAACTTGAAATTTCCATCTGCTGTGAGGTACATGTACGTAAATTGACTCATTACATGATCACCTAGGCCTAGACAGGAAGAAAAACACAAGAAAAAAAACAAGTTACCGGTAAAACTTTATCCGATCCTCAACCAGGAAGGAAAACTCTCTAATTTTCAATTTAATTCAGTCTCAAAAAGAAGCTTGAAATTAAAAGCTTTTCATGCAGCAATTTTCATTTTATGCTTTTCAATGTGATTCAATGTTCTTTGAAATTTTTAGAAACGGTATTAAAAAAGTTGATATTTGTACCTCATAAAAGTAAGTAGGATTTACATATTTAATGAAATCGGAATTATTTCAATTTAGACCTTGTTATCAATATTTATTAGCAATGATAATATGAAATGAGAAGTGATTTGTGGTATTTTCTATGATAGGAAACAATTCATACACTATACATTTTGAAATGATCGAAGTAAATAGGAGAAACTAAAGTACCGAATAAAAATCATGCAATTTTCTTCAAAAGTCTGGATACGTATGGTTTTTATTCCCAAAAGATATCTGTTGATCAATTTTCAATGAGAAAATATGCAGCTGGTAGTTTTATTCGCATTTCCTAAAAATTTTTTTGAGATTTACTAATTTTCCCTATAGAATATGATTTACTTCGAAGATGAAGTTTTAAAAATACCGTGGGTAAAACACATCACATTGAAAATTCAAAGACATCTTTTTGAGCATTTTCAATAACTGAATGCCTGATTTTCAGAACCTGAGGTACGGACTCCTTTAAGATATATATGTACAGGACACATCTTGATACAGCTCAGAGCAAGTTGAAGGCAACTAAACAAAAGCTTTGTAGGCATTTATAGTCACTAAGTATCAAAGTGATATTTTATATTATTGATTACATTTTCTTGCAAATACTAGTCCTGATAGAGCATTGATCCATGCTATTTCAGAGTATTCTGTTGATTTTCTTACATTAAAATTTTTTATTATTGTTCACAAAAATGTAGCTTATTTCATTTTTTTAAAAAAACACGCATATATTTACCTAGCATAGTTGGATGTCGGGGTGAATGAAAGCAAAGAAAAGTGTTTACAAAATCAGGGCTTGAGTAAAGCAAATTTAACCGATCACTGGATCGTATTTTGGCTGATTTGTTTCATACCAATTCTTAGGCCTTTGATTTCGTACAAAGGTTCTGTCTACCTGATCAATCCATAAGGCTCACAGTGGGTGTAACTGGCAAATGGACTTTTACGAAGACACTGACTTTTATGGTTGACGGCTTACTTTTACACCTGAAAAATATAAGGGAGCTCTTTTGTGAAAAAAATATTGATGTGAACATTTAACAAAACGATGATAACGGACTATTTCAAAGATCATATTACGTTGTCTACGAGGGAAACGGCAACATTCCTACCCTAACACCCTCCATTCCAGTCTTGACAAATCCTGCCGAGTTTTCCTACCGAAATGTGTCTTCTTCTTTATTTCATTTCTTAAGTTATTTAAAATAAAAGGATATATATTAATTCTCGTGGATAAAGTATCTAAATAAATTTTATTCTACCCCCAATTATATTTTTTGTTTAATAAATTATTTCAAAGCCCCGAATACAACAACTTTCACCTCAATGAATGTTTCCTTATCTATTTTCAATTCCGTATCTCCGTACATGACTCAGGTTTAAATGTCCAAGTAAGCCGTCAACTGTAAAAGTCAGTGTCTTCGCAAAAGTCCAGTGGGTGTAACTGGCAAATAGGGCATTTATACTCTTCCTAAGCATCTGATCCCACCTCTGGAATTCCCAGATATCTGTGTTTTATGCCATACTTAGAAATTTGTCTTGTTAAATTGTACATAATTTAATTTTGTTTGTATTCTAGTCTCTCATTGGTTGATTTCCAAAAAGGAAACGCAAATTATTTCTTAATAACCTGGTTTGGTATGGGGACACACCCTTGACAACCAGCTGAATCATTTGTATCCATACAATCCCCTCATTTCCAGTCCTTGGGATTCATGGGAAATTCCAGATTTGATAAATGTACCTTTAACTTCAAACAGTAGCTCGATCTTACCTCGTGTAAACAAACATCATGGCTGCTAGATCTGTGTGTCAGTTATTACCTCCCCTTGTTTCATATCACTTCCGTTACTAGGGATGTATTATTGAGCGGCAAATTTGAACTCATAAAAAGCAACGCAATTTTACACCCACAGTTGTTTAATTATTTTAAAATTAAATTATAAGGAATGACTCTAATTTTTGGCCAAATTATTCGGTTATAATCGAATAATTTGGCCAAGAATTAGAGTCATTCCTTAAATATATATATTTTTTTAGATCGATCAATGTTCTTTTTTAATTATACCCTCTTTTGATAAAGCGTCCAAGACAAATTAGAATTATTTTTAATGAGACATATAAACCTACTGAAAGTTTTTTGTGTCTCCATTATCAAATTTCGAGTAAAGTTAACATATGAGGATCAGTGATCCCTTTCTCTCATCCGATCTCTCGATAAAAAAAAAATTAGGAGAATCATGTTATTGAAGAAAATTTTTAAGAAAAATGACACAGGAAATCCCTCCCCATTGGAAATATATTTTACATTTATTATCTTATCTGCTTTTTAAGCGTCTCTGCACAAATGTACAATCAGCGACAAAGTTTATCATTTCTAACTTTGATCGAGATAATTATGAATGATAAGTGTAATACATTTTAAAACGCTAGATTTTATCATTTTAACAGTGGTCAATTTTATTGTACATTAGATTATTCACCTTATAGGATGTATTCATGACACTCACCCATTACACTTTAACAATTTGGCTGAAGTAAGTATAAATTTGTCTTATTTTTCAATCGACTGTTTTGTAAGAATATTAAAAACAAATGTTACTGATTCAAGTATTTATTATAAAAGTATTTTGTGCCATTTTAACCCTCTGTACATATAGATTAAAAAATACTAGTATAATGATAATTTTTACAACATTGATATGCAACAAAAATACAATTGAAACATGATTTAGCTTAGGGTTAGGCTATTGATAACCCTAACACCTACTAGTATCCAAAATCCAATATACTCCATTATTTCAATTTGAAAAACGTCTTTTGACAGAGTTATCGCAAAGAAATAATTAAATCATTTCAAAAATAGTTTTGCTTGTACTGTCAGTATAAGCATGGCTTCTTAAATTAGTTTCAAGAATGGGAACAGAAGTATCCAAAGAAGGAAGTGATGACATCGGGGTCGACCCCAAAAGTGAATATATTGATGAGGTCCTGCAACGGGAAGTCAGTGACAGCGAAGATGAGACCGATGGATTCGATGAATTCGATGAATTCGATGGAGGTAACAGAAAGGGAAACATATGTGTACATGTAACATATCATCAAGTTTTAACTACACACATAATTTTTAAAACAATTATGTGTCTGAAGAGGATCTGCGAATGTTTCTTTGATTTATATTTTTTATCTTTTAAGAATTAAGTGATTTTGACAAGCTTGCACAAACCATCGACCCGAAAGAATATCTCGATCAGTATCCATTTGAAAATCTCATTTTCGAGGGAGGTGGAGCAAAAGGGATTGCATATCCTGGTGCATTGAAGGTGATATATTTGACATTAATGTTAAATTGTTTTTTGTGGTATATGAGCACATATATGATAGTTGGTTTAATCGTCTATTATATATTGAAAGGAAAAAGAAACGCAGGGAAACATGATATGCGAATTCATTTGATCAAGTTGTAAATTTTGTATTCAATTTTACTGCCAGCCGATAAATTAAAAATTTATGACATGACATAAAGTATTTTTATTCAAGTAAAATGTTACTGTAAAAATACCATTTGTGATTTTCTTTTACCCAATTCATTTCAATTATTTATATTAATATATCTCTTAGGCATTAGAGGAAGTTGGTATTATGAAAAAGATAAAAAGATTTGCCGGTACAAGTGTTGGCTCCATAACGGCAACAATGGCTGCACTTGGCTACGATAGCACTGAAATTAGAGAAGTCATGTCGACGGATTTTTCACAATATTATGGTACTGCTCTTGAAAATATTTTTTTATTATTAAGAGAAGATTACATACAGTATATTTTGAATTTGGTTCATATATAGAATTGAAGAATGTTACACACTTTTTTATTCGTGTATTTCTGTTTTGTTGTTCGTCTGATACATTTTATTACGAAAAAAATTCTCTATATTTCATGAAGAGTTTCATATTCTTATTTTGAAAGATGCCAGGTTTGGAAAATTCAGTATCATACCAAATCTTCTCTGGTATCTTGGTTGGCAACCACTTCATACTTTATATGAATACATTGGGGAAATAGTTGAAAAGAAACTTGGCGAGAAGGACGCTACATTTGATCAAGTAATTTCTTTCATTATTATGATACTAAATCTTAAAAAAAAATCATCTGTATTCTACGATATAATGTATACATTAAATTATTAATGACAGTCATTTATTTCATCAGCTTTACAAGAAATTAGGGAAGGAGCTGTGCATCGTTGCTACAAATCTTAATGATATGGAAGAGACCTATTTTCACCCTAAAACTACACCCAAAATGCCTATCAGAAAGGCGGTCCGTATGTCTATAAGCCTCCCAGGTAAGAATGTTACATTGAGATATATTCAATTTATTTACTTTGTTGTATACTGTCAGGCAGTTTGTTATAGGTAGTTTATATTTCTGGCAGGTATAATGCAGCCTATTAAACATACTGATTTTGGAGTTGAAAGTATGTATGTAGATGGCGGTGTACTAATCAACTATCCAATAGAATGTTACGATGGTGAGTTGAACATGGTACCAGTTTTTCTGTTAGTAAAATTTCCAGGTCATAATCTCAGGAAAACAAGTTCTCAATTCCTTGATCAGCTCTATTTTGTCTTTACCTCTCCTTACTTTTGTAACTTTTCCGATAATCTATATACGCTGATCAATACCTAGAGAAACGTGCGTTAACGTGACGACAGGTGTGACGCTTCAGTAGGTGACAATGATTCACACACCAATAACTCACACAAAACTTAAAAACATTCCTTAAATGTACTCTGATTAATATCTAATGCTCACGGCAGGTGTGACATAACTGTAGGGAATGTTTATTATGCCCTGTTCAAAGATTTATATTGTTTTTATATATATTAAAGATCGATTGTTTTTCTTTGTCCTGATCCTTTTCCTTTAAAAAAAGGGTGGTCAAAATTAATTGTAATTATATTGTTAAAAACAGTGAATATTCTTTTTCAATATTCCTGTCGTCTTCTAAAATATATGATTATACTTCTTTTAAAATTAAAAACAAATCAACCAATTTATTTTTAAGCATTTGTACATGCTGTTGGATATCTATGCATCTTATCAATAAAGTCTTTAAAAAGTGAAAGTTTCGTTAATTATTTTCAGTCTTTCTAAAGAATATAGCTCAAAACACTCCCTTTACTTTAAAAATTCAGTGGAATGTATTGCTTGTTTCCTCCATATAATAGCATAAATTCATACTTGGATATTTGGAGCTCTGTTAATTAAGAGTCACTAAATTTCCTCACCATTTTCAGGGTGGTGGCTTTCAATGAAAAAGGAGGATTCGTTTTTTGAAAGATTACAACCTTTGGAGAACCTCCCTTTTATAATGGATAGACAAAACAGATTTGGCACCGATGAGGTTCAATCGTTCAAATCGCTTGGATTCATACTGGTAATAAATATAAAATACGACAATTTGTAGTCTTCACAACTTTTTGTTTTAGTCTGACCTTTGGCTTTTATTTTGTTGCGTGTTTTGTTCTAAACTTATCAGTCTTTTTTTTTATCTTAGTATTCTGATGATGAGATTCAGTCTTTCAAGTCAATATTTGAAGCAAGAAGGAAAACAAAATTAGAGTTTCCAGACACGCCATTGGGAGGGTTAAGTTTATGGACTCTGTATTTCTTAAGGGACATGGACATAGTTTCAACTAATTTTTTGAAAACCAATTTTAATGTTTACAATTCCTAATTAAGGCAATCCAATTGATCAGCAAAAATTTGAACATCATTTGTTGATCAACAAAGGAGATATAGAACCTAAAAGTCTTTATAATGTAAATAAGACTCGTTCTTTGTTTTTGTCTCCATATAAAAAATATTATATTTGTTACAAAACGAGATTCAGCAAATCACTACATACTTTTTACATTTACTTTGCTTTGAAAGATCTAATCTTTTCATTTAAACATTTATACACTTAAAGGAAGGCGAGGCAGAAACTGAAAGACAAGAAGAAGTTACACGAAGAACACAAATGCGTGAAAACTTCAGCCAGCAAGTTTTTAAAGGTAAATGTATTTAATATTTCTTGTACATGTATGTTCAAATCTCAAAAGTGTATTTCGAGTTTCAAAGTGTTTTCTCCAGTGACTTTTACATGTACAGTTTGATAGTTGAAGAAATGCATAGATGTTTCAATGTATTTTTAAATACGTTTAGGCGCTTGAGAATCTTTGTAAGATACTGAAATATGCTTTAATTAATTTTTTTAGGTGGGGGATGGGGATCTTTTTACTGAAAAAAATTCGAGTACTTGATATCTTTCTGTATATGTTTCCTCACAGATACTGCAAAACCATAATCTGGACAAAGATGAATTTATCAACAGAGAGGAACTAGAGAGCGCCATAAAAAGCGTTTGTACAGCATGTGCATTTCAAGATATTAAGCATTCTCTCTCTTTCTATCACTCAAGTAACATACTTTATGACCCTTACATGTTTTCCTTCAGGAGGAGCTCACTGATTATGATAAGAAACGTTTGTTTGGGAAGAATGTTACTGTTGAAGAAGTGATGGCAAAACTAGACAAAGATGGAAATGGAAAGGTAAAATATTCCTTACTATTTCAAACCCAACTAACATACTTCTTCAGAAGTAAAGTTTAGTCAGTCATACTCAAGGTTCTATAAATGTGGCTTGACTTATTGTTTATTCACAAAGAGAAACAATAGTAAGGTGTCTAAAACCCATTCAATCAATGTCTATTCCTGAATTCAAGATGTTTTTTATGCATTAGATCAGTTATGAAGAGTTGGTTTCATTCATTGAAGAAACAGGGATCTCCGTGGTTCATAGAAGATTAGGGTTCTGTAGACAACAAGTGGATACACTTTTGTCTTTGCTACAAACCCTCTACAATACGTTGTCTTTGAATATTGTACGGATATCAGTCAAAGTAAGTCGTGCATTGTATTTTAGCATTAGATAACTATATCTGTTGTGTTTTTCTATTTAACGAACCATGAAATTGTTTCGAGTGTCATCTTCATATATACTTATGCATGGAAATATGAAATTAAAACATTTGCAGCTTCTTAATTGAAATAAAAATAAACGCGATTCATAAAATATGACTTTCTGACAAATCTGTGTGATTTACACACAGGCATTTCACAAAAATTTATAAACATTTCTGATTTTAATAATTGAAATTGCTGAATATGTTTTTTTTTCACTTTTATTATATATCTTTGTTATTATTTTTTGTGCTTTTTCTTTTGTCTATTTAAGTGTCAAAATGGAGGTTGACAGGTAATACTGCACAATAATAGCATGAATTGAATACCTATGAATTGTATACTTATTAATAAAGGCTTCGGATGTTCCACGTACGGTTGGCCTGAACTCACATTACATTGGAACCCTTACATTTGATTATACCAAAGAGGATGCAGATTTTGTCGGACAGGTAACATCACAGAGGGATATAGCTCTATGCTTATTCAAAGTACATTGAATACAATTGTACATTAAAAAGCTTTTCTGAAGAATACTTTTATTAATAACCGAGGGGTTTACACAATTGGAAGTTTCCATTATCAGTTTATATTGCAATGGCATTTCGTTAAACATTTTTTTTCAGTGTAGATTGAATTCTATAGAAATCGTTGTTCGAAGTTCTCTACAGAACAAAGTGGAATAATTTTTTATGTAATATGGTCCATTGTTTTGTCTATTTCCCGATCTGGTGTAAGGTAATGATATAGTTAAAGCTCGTAAAAACAATAATTTTTTCTTAAAAAGTTTAACATTGATTTCGATGATCTTTTTAATGATCTTGCAAAATCCCTAGACCTAAAATGAAAAAAAACATGACAATGTTTTAACAAAAAAGTTGCCAACAATTTTATATCATGATTAATCCGTTTCAAATTTTTATACATAGAATTATATCCTTATGGTTATGCTATTGATGTTTCTTCCGGAGTAGAAAGTCGCTTAAACTTCGAATTGTAAAGTGAGATCAGAGGATTGATGTCAAATTTTGCAATTTTGAAAATAACTATTAACTTGACTATAATTTAAAAACAAACTCTGAAACGCCAATTTGTATTTTCTATCTAATTGTATAGTTACTGAACAAAAAAAACAAGAAAATATATAGATATTTTGTTCGAAATATATGTGCAGGTTCATCTTACGAGCTAAGGGTGTGTATATATTTATTTTGTGTATTTATTTTCAGGAAAGTTATAAAACAACTATGGCATTTTTGAAGAATTTCATGGCAAAAATAATGATGGAAAGGAAAGCCAAAGCATGAAGAATCATTGGATAATTGAAAAAAAACGTTTATAAAAAAAATGTTGATAAAGTGATAATTTGTCATAATTGTCGACCTCTAAAGTATGCATTTTGATGCTAATAAAATGTAACACACATTTGTTATTCTTTGTATTTTACTTTTTAATTATCATACGGTAAAGTACGTATGCTATTATTTCACTGATCTTTATTAAAAATGCATAACAAGGTTGTTCCGAATTTATACGGGGTCAATATAAAAACAATACCCCGTTTTATTCATTTACCTTCTCTTAAAACATTTCGGGTATATTGTTAACCTAGTCCGTCCGTCCATTCACACAATGTCTTCTCAAAAGCCCGTGTTATATTGTTAGAAGTGGTATATTATTATTATTATTATGGAATATAATTGGTAGTGTGCATGATATATGAAATAGCATTCTGATTTTTTAACCTCAATGCCAAATTGAGGTCAGTAATGATGTTTACTCTACAAAAACCTGGTTTTTTAACTCCTCGATCATTTTTCTCAGACAACCATTCATATTTTGGAATATGATTGGTGGTTTTATCGAAGATGAACATTAAGATATTCGGAAATTTCGAATTTCCCCCTATTGGCAAAATGGTTATCGGAATATATTTTTTCACACAACAAGGTTTTCAGAACTTTATTGTCTGATATTTTATGCATCATTGACGTCACTTTTGGAATATGATTGCTGGAACATTGCATCCTTATATGCAACAATGTTTCGGAATTTTTACACCATACTAAGGGTATTGTAAAGGGTGTTTTTTTCAATTGTATTTAAATACATGTTTGCATGAGTTTAACTGTTAGAAAAAATGTTTCAAGTTTGTGAAATCACGCCTCGTCGAAAACTATCGGAACGCTGACAGGTCATTGGAGTGATAAGAACTTGAATAAAGTATAGGAGGGTTGTAAGTCACACTGTAATTTTGCGTTTGGTATAGAGCTGGAGAAGAACTGGGGGTGTGAAAGAAGCTAAAAGATCTGGAAGATCCCGAAAGACTACAGAAAGGAAAGACAGATTTTCGACTAGCTATATGTAAGTATTAGAGTCCTTTTGGCACTGCAAACACGCTGAGAAGCAAATGGAACACCAATGTTCGAATCAGAAGAATGAATCACAATTAACAGAAGGCTAAACAAGGAACGGATGAGATCATGTCGGCTTATAAAACGTCAGCTCTTATCCCAGAGATAAAAAGAAAGATATATTTCTAACCTAGCCTCTTTAATTTCTTTTTTATGTACATTCAAAAACATAACGACAGAACCACTCAGAGGGAAAACAACCATAGTTAAAATTTTTGTTGAATATTTTTTTGAAAGAGGGGCACCATTATGTTGCATGAACATTTAATATTTTCCTTGTATATGTCATCACTTAAAAATGATTTGTTTCTTTTAAGACTTTTTATACTTTGCATTATTATATACCTAATGTGTATCACTCAATTTTACTGTAGAATTAACGCAATCAAGTGACGTCGTGACCCGACTTTCCGGATCACCACACTGTGTTTTTGAAGAATCCATATCACCGTTCTCTGAAACTGATGACATAGTATGCAAAAACATGACGTTATTTTTCTTGCGCGTTAAAAAGTCCATTGTTATCATGCTTTGTTTTATGGATAAATATTATACAATTCATCTCTAAAGTTTTATTTTGCTATATTTAGCTAGTCATAACTCATAAGGGGGTATATAATAAATTTATCATTATAACAGTTTATATAAAATTAAGAGGCACCATCACGTTCGTTGACATTTATATGATCATCAGATCAAACTGACGCTTCGCGTCTCGTTAAAAAAAATTCTGCGTATATTGTTCAACTCTCATTCACACGTGTACATGTCACCCTTAGAGAGGAAGAAAAAGTTACTGTTATAATAATATATATTTATCTTTTTCTGTATTCAAATCTTTTTAAAAAGAATTCATATAATTCTTCACCAGATGCATTTACTTTTTTTTTTGCCCTGAGTTTATCATTTTCCATATATCATTTCATATCATTTCTTGATAGTTTTTTTCAGTTTTTCTTTTGTTTGATTTTCATGGTTATTTACACATATTTTCTACACTTTTTAAATATTTTTCTTTACAATACATATCGTTATTTCTATATCTCTTATTTTTAGCCTCAATAGTGTCAATAAAATCTAGATCGATGTCTTTCTCTTCAATGTTGTCTACAATTCCACATCAATTCTTAATTTCAATACTTTTCTAATCTAGTCTGTCAAGAAAAAAAAATTAGTCACATTTCCAACCTTTTATATCTTTTTCTTTTTGATCGCTATTACAAATATGAGGTACATATACGTAAAATGACCCATAACGTCACCAACTTAGGCCTAATCAGGAAGGAAAACACTAGGAAAAAACAAGTTACTGGTATAACTTTCTTCTTAAGGATATCCGATCATCAGCTAGGAAGGAAAACCCTGTAATTCATAATTTGATATAAAAAGTCTCAAAAAGAAGAAATCTTTTCATGCAACGATTTTCATTTAAGCCTTTCAATGTGATTCAACGTTCTTTGAAGTTTTTACAAACTACATTTTAAAAAGTTGTTATTTATGATTCCCTATAAATCAAACAAACAAAATGGATGTTATTTTGCTTGTTTAATATGGTGCTTCTGGCCGCGGTAATCAATTTTTTCTGGGGTTACCACAGGGCTGCCCCACAATCAACAATCAGTACAAGAAATGTGACGACCCAAATCGGGCGGATCTTGCACTGGATAGGTCACAAGTGCATGAACGTCACCAATGCAATAATCAATCAAATTCAATCAATCAATTAGTAATCAATCAGTCAATCAATCAAATCAAATATCAATCAAGTCAATTACTTGTCAATCAATCAATCATTAATAAATCAATCAATTCAAATATCAATCAAGTCAATAAACAATGGAATGAGCGTAAGAATGTGTGTTGCACTCGTCCAATTGCGTTGAGGTGCGACGGAATATGCCACTTGCAAGGACCATGACTACTCGTGTCTACTACGAGTAATAATGGAACTTCAACCGCCACCAATGGGGTGCCAAGAACCATGGGACGGCGGCAATACCTCAACGCAATTGGTCACCGTCGACCAGGGCCTGCTCATTCACCAATACAAATTTACAAAATAATTGATTACAGACGTTTTACAAATGGAGTCAAGGACTTCTTCGTATAAAACAACTTCTATTTACGCTAACATTGTTGATACTTACCGGCACTGTATTTTTCCATTGGTTACCTGTATAAATTACCTAAAAGGCTGTTACCTCTTTTCATGGCTTTTTTAAAATCTTTAAAACACCTCTTACCAATTTTCCTTGCGTGACAAAGTAATATAGCACTTGGGAAAAAAATAACTATCTTTGCCAAAAGACAGTTTGTTCTATTTGATCTTAATGGGCATGTATAAAACATGTGCCAAATCAATTACCGAAATTGGAAAATCCGATCCAATAAAAAATGGCATAATATAAACATTTAAGTGTTAAATTATTTTCGAAAAATAACAGGGATTTAATACACCCCCAGACTCAACATCAAACTGTTGATTTATTGCATAACACAATATAAATACTGTAAATTAAATTTTTCTTTAGAACTTTCACAATTTATGAACCAATGAATCAATTGTAATGTATGAAAAAAATAAGAATACCAGTAAGGCAATTATGTGTAAACAGATGGTAATAAGTTGTATTAATGTATAAACGATATGCTTTTGAAAGTCAGCAGTTCTCAACATTATAATAACCTCGTCTTCCCCTGTTGCATTCTGATGGGAAATGTGTAGTAATTTGCTTCTCCGTAATAAGTAGCGATATTTAAATTATATAGAACAAAAAAAGACAAAAATATTTTATAAACTATTCAATACTGTCTACACCTGCCCGCAATTTCCGTCAAAAAGGGGTTGAACCAAACGTCCCACTCAACCTCTCATATAAATCTTTGATTTAAGGTACTGTATATATTGCATCTTGTCAAAAGTGCAATTTAACTCAGTTAAAACAAAAAAGAGAATTACGAGTATTTAAAAAAAGGCCTTGAAGAGAGTAGTTTTATCTCAGAAAAACGGTTCTAGTAATTTACATCAAGCTTAGACCCTTAACATTAAACATTTAATTGGTAATTAAGGAATTTTAAATTTTTAAACGGATCTGGTTTAAATTAAAAAAAAAATAACCACAAAAAACTAATCTGGTATAAAAGTTGTTTTCAATTGTCATACTTTTCTGATCAAAATTTGTCCGTCTTTCTATCGTCGTTTTAATAAACTTTTTGCATTTTTATCTTCTTAAAACAACCACTGCAACTGTTAACCAAACTTGCCACAAATTTTGTATCCTTGGTGAATCCTTTTTGACTATAAAATGCTTTTGTGCAGAATGAAGGGCCACGGACTTATTCAAGGGGAGATAATTAAGAAATAGTGAAAAATTTAGGTATGTTCTATAAAAATCTTCTTTCAAGAACCACTGTGCCAGGAAACTTTGAAACTTACCAGGGAAGCATCCTGAGCAAGGTAGTTTAGAAACAAGTTTGTTCAATTTTAATTTCCTTTTTAAAGGGCCACAATGAAGCCGATCAAAGTTTTACATAGAAATATATAGGGAAATTCTTTAAAAATTATCTTCTCAAAAATAGCAAAGGCATGAATGATCATATTTATTTTACTCCTTAGGTAGTGTAGCCAAAATTCAAGTTTGTTCAAATGCATGACCCCTTTGGGGTAGGGCAGAGCCACAACATGGAATCCAAGAAATACATAGAAATATTTCTTTAGAAATGCTTTTTTCAGTCAGAATGGCAAAGCCATGATTAGATAATCATATTTATCTGGAAGCATTCTTTTTGTTAGAGGGAAAATCAGTTCATATAAACCTAAGACCTTTTATTTTTTGGTAAAATATTCTCCGTGTATGGCTTTATGCATTTTATTAAAATGTTTCAATAGACCAGCAAACAAATGAAACGATACCGAACTGTAAATGACTCGTAATAGCTGCAGTAATGTAGCCCTCTCCCTTTGGGGGGGGGGGGGGGGCTACAATTAGGATCTCCGTAATGGTGCAAAGAGGGAGCGATGCATTCCCGCACGGATTTCGGCTGAAATTGTCAGTAAACAGCTATTTTATTTATACGTCTTACCTGGACTTCCAAAATGTAGTTATCCAAGACATAAATCGATCCAAAAATATACAGAAAATCCATATATCCGTATTTTTCGTGGATGTCAACATCACAACTTAAATTTATCCGCCACGTTTACTAACCATAGGGAGCGGATTTCTTTGGAATTACCTTATTTTAAGCCT